TGGCCCACATTCCCAGGTTCCCCTCAGTTCACATTCTGATTCTTCTGAAGCTCAGCCTAAAAGTCCTTGGGAATGAGGGCCCGAAGTAGCCATCTTTCTCACTCCCAAATTTTGGTGTTGAATAAACCAGTCGCTGGCTCACAGTCTTTTAAAACAGACCTTTACTACCTGGCCAACTATTTCAGACACTATGTACAAATTAGATTAAAAAGTGTCTAGAGAAAAAAATTGACCTTTTTCAGATTTTCTGCATTCAGAAAATCAACACTAAAAAAGCGGCTTTCAAAATTGTGACTCAATACTGAATCACAGTTTCTTTTAACAAATTACAGACTTTGAGCTACTTAAACTTAAAAAAAGAAGAAAACTAAAGATGAAGAGTGCAGCTTACACCTGATTTGGTTGAAATTTCATTCCTTCCCTTATGATATTTTATAATATGTGAAGAAAATACATGTTGTGCATTATTAAAGTGTCTTCTATGTTGTTTAGCCTTCTTTTTAATATTTATTATTATTGGATTTTACACTGTTAGCTGCCTTGGCTGTCTCCAGAAGGAAGTTGAGATATAAGCTCACTAAAGTAAATGCAGTATTGTTCTATACTATTGAGATGTCCCTTTGAATCTGTTATAGTTTTTTAAAATCACATTTTATTTCAGAACTTCAAGATACTGCTAGATGAAGATCTCTTGAGCTTATGGCATCTATAGGTAAGTTCTGGAGCTGAAAGGGTAGTATCTGTACAATCCACTATATAACTCTATCCACAGAGTAGAAGTTTTCTCTGGGGCAACTACTCCAAAGTTGATGGAAGTTGCACTAAGTGACAGTGTGAATTAGTTTACTTGGTATTTATTAAAGCTTGAGTAATGTATTTAAGATTTCTTCCCCCCAAGCTCTTGAAATAGCAAATTACAGGAGATTATTCTCTCTTCAACTTAGTCACCCAACACAGGAATGATTAAAATCAAGTGAAGAAGTTATAACCCTGAGATCAAAGTACGAAAAATGTGATCTATAAACAAACTTAATTAAACTTTGAAAATTGAGTTTAAATCAAGCTCAATTTTCTACTTTTGTGGAGCAGCTTTGAAGAAAGTATATTATAAACTATTCAGATAACTCAACTAGATGAGACATTTGTCTTTCAAGGTGCCATTGTTGATTGAGAATGAGTTTTTATGTTGGAAACACAAAAAGTAGATGAATAGTCTTTTGACAATCATATCCAAGTTAATGGAAATTCAAGTCTTGGGAACAATTAACTTAGTAATCTGTAGGTTTTCCACAGCTGGATTTCCTATGAACTAAGAAGCACCCTCCAATAATACAAATACGTTGACAATTTTAGTTTACATGGCCATGGTATGTTCTTAATGGTTGCTAAATACTCTAAGTATTTTGTCATTCTGGGAGCCATGTATGGGTGTTCAACGGTATACAAAAAGTAAGTAAATACATACATTTAAATACGATATAAAATTATTTGAGCTAAGCGCTTCCTTAAAATGAGGAAAGCACACTGCACTGGATGCTACAGAGACAGCAAGATCATTGACTAAGCTGGCTGGGAGTGATAATAATGTAAGAACAGCCCTGCTGGATCAGACCAAAGGTCCATCTAGCCCAGCACTCCGTGCACACGGTGGCAAGCCAGCTGCCCAAGCAGGATGGGGACAAGACTTCTGCCTGCCCAAGCTCCTCAGCAACTGGCGTCTGCAGGCAGGCCACCTCTGGTAAAAGGGGACGCACACCTAGCAAGGCTAGTAGCCACTGACAGTCTCCTCCCTCATGAATCTATTTGGTGGTCATCTCCCATTTCTGTGGCAGCAGATTCCATACTTTAAGTATATGCTCTGTGAAGAAGTACTTCCTTTTACGGGTCCTAAACCTCCCCCTCCATCAGCTTCATGGGATGACCCCAGGTCTGAGTGTTATGGGAAAAGGAAGAAAAATCTCTCCCTCCCCACATTATCCACACTATGCATTATTTTAAACACTTCTAACATGTCTCCCTTTCCTCACCATTTTTCTATGCTGAAGAGTCTCAGTTGTCATAGCTGCCTCTCATGGGGGAGCTGCTCTAGCACCTTGATCATTTTTGTTGCCCTTCTCTGAACTTTTTCCAACTCAGTAATGCCCTTTTTCAGTTAAGGTGACCAGAACCGAACACAATATTGCACCAAGGAATAGTATAGGCCGTGGTGGCAAACCGATGGCATGCGTGCCACAGTGGGCATGCAGAGCCCTCTCTGTTGGGACGCAAGCCAAGTCGTCCCATCATCACCCCAGGAACCGAGCATCGGATAACAGCGCACACAGGGACCAGGCGCATGCTCGGAAAGGAGTAGCGGCGCCGGGTGATGACTTCATGAGCCGTGACTCATCCGAGCTTCTGCATGGCTGGTCAATGTGGAAGCCAACAATATCTATCTATCCATCCATCCATCCATCCATCCATTTCCTTGGACTGGCTGTGAGTTTTAATACATTCATTTTTATTAACACAAGATTTTAGCTTTGAGTTTTCTTATGAAAAATTGTAATTTATTATCTAAGATTTAGCAAAGAGATGTTCTAATTAATGTTCTGCTGTTCCCCTGGCATATTTGAATCTGCAGCATCACATTCAGGTTTAATTGCAATGTTGGCACTTTGCGATAAATAGGTGGGTTTTGGGTTGCAGTTTGGGAACTCAGTCTCTAAAAGGTTCGCCATCACTGGTATAAGGGAAACAATATTTTGGCAGTTCTACAGAGGTACCTTGGCTCACAAACTTAATCCGTTCCAGGACTCTGGTCATGACCCAAACTGGTCATGAGTCAAGTTAAATTTCCACATAAGGTTCAATGTAAATAAGGTTAATCTGTTCTGTAACCATTTTTTAATCAGGAAAATGTGAAGCAAAGTGACAAAGAACAACAAAGATTGCAGCCATCTCCCCCTCCCCACCCCGAGAACAAGCACAGCCATCTCCCTGCCCCCACAGCATGACCGAGATCGCGCCTGTCATCCTTGCACATGCCCGTCATCCCGGTGCACTGAGGGAGGAGGGGAGAGACAGGCGCGATCACAGGCGCACTGGGGGAGAGAGAGACAGGCACGATCGTGCTAGAAGGGGGCGGAGATGGCCAAGATCATGGGCGCGCCCCTACAGAGATCATGCCCGTCTTTCCTGCAGGAGCACGCCCATGATCACGCACAAGACACAACTGCGATCGTGGCCATCTCGGTCGCCACCCAATGCGGAGTTCGCGACCCACATCAAAATTTTCATGAAATTTTTGTTCACGACTTAATTTGGTCATGAACCAAGGCATTTGTGAGCTGAGGTACCACTGTATTTTCTATTCTATTCCTACTTGTGTTAATCATGGAGTCCAACTTCTTGACAGCAGCTGGGCACTGGGCCAACATTTTCACTGAGTTGTCCACTGCTACCCCCAAGATCCCTTTCTTGCTCAGTCACTCCTGGTTCAGATCTCACCAATACACACTTGAAGCCGGGATATTTTTTTTGGCTCCAAAATGCATTTCTCTACACTTGCTTGTTTTGAACTGCATTTGCCATTTTGATGCCAATTCTCCCAGCCTGGACAGATCCATTTGGAATTCCTCAGTCCTTTTTGGTGTCACTAAAAACTCCTCTGAGCTCACAGTCTTTGCAACCAAGAGAACCCTACTGGATGGCAATCACAGGTTCTGGAGAAGGAGGGCACTCTGGCAAGTGCCAAGGAAGTATCCAGTGGCACATTAGTCTGCACTGGCCCCACTCTATTATCCATGCTGCAGTGGGAGCCTGAGTGACAGAAATAAATTAACATACCTTGTGAGGTAATCCTCCTAATGAAAGTTTTATTAGTACACTCAACAGGGACTAAGACCAACCACAAGCGATAGCACCTAGGGGTCTAGCTTTGTACTAGGCAATCTATTGATATACAATTTCTGATTTCCTGTGCCTGAACTTGCTGAGGCATCAACTCAAATCATACAGAAATTCAAAAGTTTTGTGTGTATGAATGTAACACTACTGTAATGGAAGTTGTTCAGCTGAAACAGCATTCTTAGTTGTGATCATGCTCTGCTAGCACAAGAAATTTTATATGCACTAAGATAATTGTTGGCATTTAACTTTCTGCTTAACTGTCCACTGTTAAGTGCGGAATGTGGCCTGATTTCTCCAGCTAACAATGTGCAGAAGGCAGTATCAATGTATGGATGGGCATAAGTCAAACTGACCAATGACTGAGTTTACTCTTAAAAGTATAAGAAACATGTGGATTGTTCATGGCTGATACTGTCTCTTATGAAAAAGGAGCAGGCTACGCTGTACTGTTGGGTGCACACTTCAATATAGAACTTTTGCTTTTTTAAAATCTTCCTGGTAGTTTGTTGCCTCTCGCTGTTAAACAAAGGAAATTTTAAGCCAGTTGCAGATAGAGTCCTTGACACTACCCAAAGATTTAATAAAAGAAATAGTCCATATAGCTCATTATATCAATAGTTCTTGAAAAAACACACCAACCATTCCCTCCATCTCTATAAAAAACGCCTGAGAGAGAGCTCACTAAACTAAGTAGGGCTGGCTCCCAAGTAAACAAAACAGCAGCAAGCTGCTTAAACTACCTCTGTCCCACAGCTCTCCAGAGAGCTGTGTGCCCCTGACAGGAGACCGACCTCCCAGCTTCTCTCCCAAGCCCCAAGTGCCTGGAAGGTCAGCACGAACTCCACACTTGGCTTCCTCTTCAACCAGCAAGCCGCGAAGGACACGTGTCTATCTCTTCCCGAGGCTCGTCCCAGATTTCCCGAGGTCGGAAAGCAAGGGCGGGAGAAGGGACGCCCTGCTTTTCTCCTCCTCAGGGCACAAAAACCCGATGCTGCCGATTTGTCCGTGCGCACTCGCACTTCTTGCCCGCTCGCCCGGCGCAAACCCTCCCCGGACCCCACACGCATCCCCCCGCGGACACCCCCCGCGGCTCCGGCCCGGCCTCTTACTCGCAGGACGTGATAACCCTCGGTGCCTCCGCCGGGGATCTCCACGCTCTGCGACGACCCCATGGCTCAGGCCCAGCAGAGGCGGCGGCGGCGGCGGGAGCAGCAGCAGCAGCAGCAGCGGCGGCGGCTTCTCACGCACGCGCGCGCGCCCCGCCCTCCTCGCCGCCGCTGCACTAAGGACGTGGCACTCCGTCGGGTCCGGGCGCCCGGTGCGCAGGAAGAAGGAAACAGAAGGGCCTCCGCGGCGGCCCGCTCGCCCCACAGCGCCACCTGCTGGGTGAGGCCGCGACGGTAAGCGAAGCACCCGCGCAAACCGTACGGGGAGAAAGGGGGAAGGAAGAAAGATGCTCCCGCGCACTGGCTTGTGGGACGGTTGAATGAAGCGGAAGGAAATCCACTTTAAAAAAAAACACGTACACAGAGGGAAACGTGCGGTCGTTTCTATGGTGGCCTGTATGGGACTTTTTTATTAGAGCGTCGCGCCATCTAATTCCGCTTTTGGAGTGGTGTGCTGCTACCTGGCGGTAGAACAGAAGAAAGGAAGGTTTGCCTCGTGAAGGGACGTTCTACCGTAATGACTGAGTAGCGGCGGCTGCCGTAATTACTGCTTCCGCAGCAGGGAATTGTATTCTTGAAAAGATTTGAGCAAAATCATCTTAGATAAGAAAGCAAACAGTAAAAGAGCCCAGTGTCAAGCACAGAATAATACACTGCATATCTCTCTGCCTTACTCTGCCCCCCAGAAATTTTGAGCATCAACTCCCATCAGCTTTTGCCAGGCATGCTTGGTGTTGTTCAAAACACCTGGCTGGATTCAGATTGTAAAACTTGATTGATCAAAAGTGGATGAACCGCTAGAATTCCAATCCTGACAGCACAAACGTGCCCATGCCTACTCAGAAAGAGCTGGCTTTATTACTGCATAATTTTTAATTATATTTGTTTCACTACTTTATGTCACCTTGAGAAGCAGCCTTCTTTCTTGAAAGGCAGCCAAGAAGCATTTGAAAGAGAAATGTATAAACCTGAAATTTTCCTGTTAAGCCTGATACCTGATGATTTTGACAATCAGAGCTTATATTTAGCATTGCATATTATTACAGCAGCTAGAATTGTTTTTGCCCAATATTGGAAGAAAAAAAAGAAGAACCTACAGAGAAATCAATAATACTGAAGATATTGGACTGTGCAGAGATGGGCAGATTGCCATCAATAATGAAAAATAAAGAAGAGTCAATGTACTATGAGACTTGGAATTTGTTCTATGAGTGGCTGGAAAAGAAGACAGGGACTTAAAAGTTTGGGATATCTATACGATCTATGAAACTGTACAGAAGAATCTGATTCTTGACCAATTGATATGATGGTTTTTGTCTGATTTTTATTTTTCTGTTTGTTTGTTTAAAATGAAAAAAGAAAGAGTAACAAATAAAAAGGCTCATTGAATTAAATCAAGCTTACTCTCAGGTAAATATTGTGGGATTACAACTCAAGAAAGTTGCTAAAGTGTGAGTAATGCCTAAAACTTACGGTACTTGAAAGCATCTTTCCCATTTTTAATGAGGAATAGGTGCAGGAACTCAATCTGGAGGCTTTAGATCTCTCTCCACCCCCTGCTGTGGGTCCAGAATGGATGATCACTCCAATACTGGTGGCTAGATTTCCTAATGGTTACCAAAAATCTATCCAGTCCAGCATTCTCTTGACCAACCAGCTGCCCTTGGGAATCCACCAGCAGCACCTGAGTACAATACTACCTGCCTATGTTCCCCAGCAACTGGTGCAGATTACCCTCTGATACTGGAGATAATATCAAGTTATCAGGAGTAGCATCCATTGAGTAGCATCCATTGATAGCCTTAGTACCATTGATTGGATTGCTGGGCCCAGGAGTAGCTTTGGCATAGTCCACCAATTTTGCTAATTTTCACTGGGGGAGGAGTCCATACTCCCATTGACCCTGCTGGGAAAGAAGGGTTTTCCTTGTGCATTTTATTTCCCAGCAATCTGAGCTACTGAGAAAAAGGGACGCAATCTATCTCCCTGAAAAATCAGGCACCCAAGGGCCCACCGCACAGTGGCTCAGTTTCCAATTCTACTTGGAACAGGCTGTACAAGGATGGCTTTCCTAACATCGTTTACATACCTGCTTACTTGTGAGTAAGCCCCATTGAACTCAGTGGATTTTACTACTGAAAATGCAAAAATAATTTACTTGCATTTTGAGACTCTTGGCTGATGGAGGCTAAGAAATATAAAAAATAATCAATTTGGGGCTTGGGGCTGTAGGGGAAGTCATTCACTAACTTGAAACTGCTTGGAGAATGACAGGATCGATATTATGCTTGCAAACTATACTCAGTTGTAAAAGGACTGCATATAAGCATCCTAAAATGTTCTGGAGCTGAGAAGGCAATATACGTGCAAATGCTCACTCATATAAAAATTAGTGTTACTTCTTCTTATAATAGAGGTGGTGTAAAATTAATGTTTGAGGACCCAAAACAGAATGATTACCTCTGTTATCTCTGGAGACTCAAATACCATGCCTGGACTCTAGAGGGCTCACTGTCAAAATAGAAATGTTTTTGAAAATTATTTATTCATTTATTATGATGTGCACCTTGCCCCTCAAACCCACAATCCGAGTGGTTTGCAAGAAATATTAAAAACACCATAAGGCTGAAATCCTATGCTGACCTGCCTGGAAATATGCCTGATTGAACTCTGTGGAACTTACTTTTAAATAGGCATGGATTGGATTGTGCTATAAAATAACTAATACACAAAAAAGGTTAAAAGTGGGGAAATAAAATAATGTAGAATAATCTAAGAGAGCAAGAATATTGTATTAAATCATACTACTGATGGAATTACATAAGTTGAATGCTATGAATCTTCTCATGCTTGGGAAAGTTAAGAATAACTCAAATATTTTTAAAATCTAGCACTGGTTGGATGAGACACACAAAGGGATAACAACCCAAATGAGTGACCAGGAATCCATTCTTCAAGCAGGCAGGTGAGCTCTCTATTGTGCAATCTCCTTGCCTTATTCACAAACTTTTACAGGGTGTCTGGACATCACTGTTTTCCACTTAGGTTTCCCTGTATTTTCTCACTGCTGCTTTCATTTTTTTTTCCTTTTCCCAAAAAATCTGTTAAGGAAGGTGCGACAAAGTAGCAGCTCAGTGGTTTTGAACTGGTAGTACTGCTAGCCGTCAGCCTGGAAGCACTTAGTAAGACAGGAAAAGGTTTTCCATGTGGGGGGGGGGGGGGGACTTTCAGGTGCTAAAATTTGCAAATTGATGCCATTTGTACCTTTGCTTGTAAGACCTACAGGATCAATCTGGTGAGCCTGGTTCGCATGAAAGAAAGGCTTCATTTAACTGTCAACTTGTGGAAGAGTAGCACATTTCTGCAATGAAGCACTTTTCCATTTTGTTTGCTGTGCCTGTGGAGAGTTCCAGCCAGCAAGAATCCCTCTGGGGCAACATCATTAGAGAGAACGCGGTCTAAGTCTTTCCTTACAGAGGGGGAGCAGGAGGGGCATTCTGTTCCTTCCACTTTTGCCAGTAGGAAGCCCAAACTTCCCAGGTAGAGAAAGCTCCAGTCAAGGCGCCATAAATAAAACTCTCGAATGTGCTTCAGACCTAACAGTACAAGCGAGTGACAGTGCCATTTGCCCTCCAGGTTACATGCAGACAATCAACCATGCAGCTGATAAGCATGTTATTCATGGCAGGTATCTTGGCCTGCCCACACAACAAAATTTACTAGGGGTCAGACATAATTACTACTAACGTATTTCCTGGATGGTATATTAAATCCTCAAGAAAGCCTGTTGTACATCTCATTCAGTATAAAGCCTTACTTTATGAAGGCAGTAAGTACTGCAAGCCCTGCTTTGGTCTGAAAGGTGACAAAAATGATAAAAGCAGTTCCTAAATGCGGCTGAATGTAGCCTAGAATTAAAAATAGTTTTCTGGCTGGGCTTCTTGGGTGCCTGGCTTTTTGCTCCAAATCAGGTTCTGTCAACAGACAAGCAAGGCTGGGAATGAGCCGCTTCATCATGTCTCCGAATTCATCAGCAGATGGTGCAGGTCAGACACTCATCTTGTTTCAAAGGAAGTGAGACTTAGAGCAACCTTGCCTAGCCCCCTGCCCCCTGGATGTGGGTGGCTGACCGGGGATGCTGGGTCTTGCAATCCAACACCTCTGGAGAGCATCAGACGGTGCCTGTGGGCTTGTACAAGGAATTGTGTTTGCAAGTTAAGGAGAGCCCCTCTCTCACAATGGGTAGTGTAATCTCATTGAACATACGTGGCGAGGGTTGCAGAAACCACAGAGCTGGGAGGGCCACCTGCACCTCTAGTCATGCATTCAGTGGGGCTGGGCTTGGCAAAAATATTCTGAGAAAGGGTTTGATACTGATTAAAACAGAGCACAAATGAAGAGAGAAGGAATTTAAAATGGCCTTAAAGTTCAACTTTGTGGATGGTCCCTGCAGGAAGACTTTTGTTTGTCGTTTGTTCAACATATCTATTTCCTTCCTATCCATCCAGTTACTAGGGATGCCCAAGGTAGCTAACCACCCAGTTTAAATTTTTATTCAAATTTCAATTTTTGTGATAGGTTGATCATATATCCCAGATCCAACCGTCTGCCGGTCATTCTATGATTTTGCTGATCAACAAAGAGAAAATAATTTCAGCATGAAGACTTTTTAGTACTGTACTCTATCCATCCTAACCAAACTGCTTGTTTGCTGCTTTTCTGTAATGCTTTTCCAGGCTATGTTTAGCCCATGTACATTAGACTGGGGAAAAACAGAAATAGTTCCATTCCCCTATATTTTTTTAAACTAAGCTGTGACAGAGGAAAGCAGATCCAGCAGGGCCAGTAACCACTGATAGCCTTACCCTCTCGGATTTTGTCTAATCTTCCTTTATAGCCAATCAGCTCAGGAGCAGTCCATGCGCCAGTTTAGCTATGCACTGTACAGAGAAGTACTCCCTAGAGCAATGTAGGCTCATGTCTCCTGTTTCTCACGGACATGCCAGGACAAAATGGACTGCACTTGTTTCAGACTGATCTCTCAGAGCGGGAAGTTCTGTAGCCTGAGCGCTGCAGCAGAGTTTCTTCTGTCCCCTAAAAATGCCACTTCCACCACTCCTGATGGTGCAATGTGGAGTAGAGCTTTTCCCAAGGGCTTAAATCAGTGGGCAAGATCGTATGGGAAAAGATGACTCTTTAATGCTGTCTAGGTGGGGATAGGAGACTCTGGAGTTCCACCTCCGACCTTTGGAAAGCAGCATCTTGCTCCCAACAGTAAAG